TTTATTTTACATGCTTATGTTAAAGACTTTGCCAACACCAATCTTCTCGCATCTGAAGAGAAACTGATACCAAACTTTGATGTTCCTCATATGGGGTCAGAATTAAGGAACCGTGATATTTGTTTTTATTTTTTTGTTGTATTTGTTTTATTTTCTTTCTTATGTTCACATGGTAGGTTGTAAGCTACAAGCTTGAACACAGAAAAAGAGGGAGTGTCGTTAATGGATGGTTTAGCTGGATGATTGGATGATAAATATGGTTTTATATCAAGTTTTTATTTAATGGCTCCTTCAGAAATTCAGACAAACTGAAGATGTTAGTTGTGAATTTCTTTTCTTTCTTAGGTTTATTAAAGTATACGCTTCCCCGCTGTTGGAGATTATAGGTGTTACCCTTCATTCATTTATGTAGTATCTTCTAAGCTTATATTTAAATAGACAATAAACTACAAATGCAGTTCGTTCTTAAACATGATAATGGGAATTTCATTTATACCATTGTGCTTGTATGTAGGAATTATTGCTACAAATTAAGATCTGCACAAAGCAACATCTGATGAATCTCAGCTCAGTGAGGACCACTGAATGATCCAATGCTGACCTAAATTACCAATAATGATAAATAGAAACCACCTGTGTGTAATCAAGTCCCCTTATAAATGCAGCTGTTCTGTGATAGTCTAAGTCAAGAGGTCTGTTTAAAGGGCAGAGAGCATCACCAAAGACAAAAAATATACACCACGCAGATCCGAGAATTTTAATGCCAGATGTGGATACAAAAAGATTTCCTGAGATTTAAACATCCCAAAGAGCTATGTGCAAAAGATAATATTTAAATAGCAGCAGTATCAGACCACTGCGAATCTACAAAGACCTGACTGTTCCTATAACGTTTCCTGCCAATCAAGGAAAAGATTGATCTGAGACGCAGCCTAGAGGCCCAGGATCACTCTGGATGAACTGCAGACTTCTACAGCTGAGGTGGGACGCTCTCTTCCAAAGGACAACATTCATTCGTATACTGCAAAAATCTTTATGAGAAAAAAAAAACATTTCTTAAAGATATCCATTAAAAGTCCTATTTAAAGTTTCCAACAAGCCGACTGGGAGACACACCAAACATGAGGAAGAAGTTGCTTTGGTCAGATGAAATTAAACTTTTTGGCAACAACGCAAAATGTTATGTTTAGTGTAAAAGCAACACAGCTCATCACCCTGAACACACCATCCCCACTATCAAACGATGTGGAGGCAGTATTATGGTTTGGCCTTGTTTTTTCTTCAGCAGGTATGGGGAAGATGGTTAAATGGATGGGAAGATGTATGGAGTCAAACACAGGACCATTCTGGAAGAAAAGCTGCAAAAGTCCAGAAAGTAGGACGGAGATTCATCTTCCACATGGAATGGTTAAAAAATGACCATATCCAAGTGCTAGAGGGGTCAAGTCAATGTCCAGACCTGAATCCATTCATGGAAAGAACTGAAAACTGCTGTTCAACAACGTTCTCCATCCAACCTCACTGAGCTTGAGCTATTTTGCAAGGAAGGATGCGCAAACATATCAGTCTATCAATGGGCAAAGCTTATAGACATACCCAAAGTGACTTCCAGCTGTAATCGCAACAAAAGGTTGTGCTACAAAGTATTAACTCAAGGGGAATTAATTTGCACATCCAGTTTTATATTTGTTAAAAAAACAAAAAAATCCAATAAATTTCATTCCACTTCATGATTTTATCCCACTTACCAATTCTTCACAAAAAATTACCACTTTATATCTTTGATGCCTGAAATGTGGCAAAAGGTTGAAAAGTTCACTTTTGCACACACTATAGGTCTAGGAAAAGCCTTTCCAAACCTAACTAAATATGAAATTCATTTCACAGCAATTTATCTCTGGCTTCAAAGGGGAGAAAAGAGAGTTTCTGATTTTAATTATGATAATTTAGTCCAAAAACAATGCAACTTGAAAAAAAGGAGACTATTTAGAATTCTCTCTATAAAACCAAAAACAAACTGCTTAGGTGATCTGTTGACAGAGAGGTGTTTGTCCAATTATACCCAATAACAGTTATTACAACACATTCTTCCTGGATCTGAGTGAAAGAGCAGGTGTTTGTAGACTGCTCACCTCGCAGGCAAAACAGTTGGTCAAACTGAGCCATTCAGATAACACTTTACTCTGAGATTATTCAATAAAAAGAACCACTGACTAAACAAAACGATGAGCTTAACATTAATTTTGGAGCCAAGTTAAAATTAGTGTTGCCTAAGAAGTTTAAAATAGTTTCTAAAACCTTTTTCTTACATATTTTACTGCTTCTAATTGATGACAATTTTCTGGGGCTGTCAAAATTGTTTTTTTTTTTTGTCTTTTTTTGTGTAATCTGGGTAATTACACAGTAATCAGCTGCTTCATGAGACAAACTATGTTTATTATTTGAGAGAGATTAAAGTTCAGGATGTGCTCTCTTTGTCAATTTTTAAATGAAGAGGTAAATTTAGCCTCTGTGCTCTACTTATTTGGAGTAAACTCCCAGAAGACTGTAAAAAGTGCTGAAACCCAAAGTTCTTCTTCATCAGTGTTAAAACTCATTTGTCTGGACTTGCCTTTGACAAATCTATTTAAACTCTTAACTGAAACACCATTAGTCTAAGTTTGTAGTCCAACTGTTCTCTTCCTGCCTTTATTATGCCACCGCAATGTACTTCTGTGTTTTCTTTTCTCATGTTTTATTCAAAAACGGCACTTTGAATTGTTTTGTCACGGAAACGTGCTATACAAATAAACCTGCATGCCTTGCCTTTATTTTTTTGTTTCAACCAGCTCCTTTGGGACAGAACTGCAACCACAGTAGCTAAATCGCCCATGGAGGAGTTTCTAACTGCATCCATCTGCTTCTTGGTGCTGAGCGGGCAATGTACTGTACATTGAGCTGAAATTCATAGCTGAGGCCTCATGTTGTCAAGGTGAGCTGAAGATTTGAGCAATGATCCTAGGTAGATAGATTCTCTACTGGGTGACCTTTTACTCGCCATCACATTGCTTTGCAGCTGCTTCGGCAGATATCACAGCTACTGTCAGCAAAGTTTGATCATACCAGCCACTAAGCTGAGAGTGAACTGTGATGTCTCTTGTTTCAGTCTGTAAATTTAAAAGGCGAAATTAACTAAGGTGGTACTTATAGTGCCCGTGGCCACTCTGTCTTTGCAAAAACTCCACACCTATACATATTTCATTAAAACTGTATATGGCAGAAAAACAAAAACTATAGCATAATTGTGAGCGTAAAGAAAGTGATGCATGTTTTTTTTTTCTTTTAAATCAACACATTTTAGCACGTACATATTTACCCCACGCTAGTAGACATGTGATTTAACCCTGCTTAACTGCACCAACAAATGCACATTTAAGGGATATGTATCAAAAACCTTTCTCACAACAACAGAATGAATATTTCAACATTATTTTTTAAAAATAGCCCAAGCTCAGACATATAGGATATAAAGCATGTCATGGCACAAACTCTTGATTTGAATTGGGTCAACACTTTGCTGTGCTATTTTAACCTCTGTAATGCTTTGGCTAAACCATCTCAATACATCCCTGTGCTGCAGGTTTGGGATTGTCTTCCTTACAGGATAAGGCAACTTACATCACAGTCTAAATGTCTTTTGCATCATCTAACGGTTTGTTTTTGTTTTTTTCAGGGGGGGTTTTCCCAGGATATTTCTTTAATGGGTGCTAACCATCTTTCCAGCAACTCTGATCAGCTTTCCTGTCTCCGTTGAGAAAAAGGATCTGCACAGCATAATGCTAACAATGTGTCTTTTTTCTTTTCTTTTTTTTTTACCAAACTAGGCATGTGACTTTTATGCTAGAACATTTACTCTTACAACATATTTATTGGGTCCCGTATAATGCCTTGTAGCAAACAGGTATCTATAAGAGTTTTTGTTCAATACTTCTTTCTATCACTATTCCATTAAGATCTGGTTTTTAAAGTTCAGTTCTATTCAGAGAATCTCCCACCTGAGCTGTGGATCTATGCAGCTCCTCTGGAGTTACCTTTGGCCTCTGTAATACTTCTCTGATAAATGCTGGCTTTACCCAACTGGTTAAATTTGGTGAAAAAAATGCTCTACTCTTATTTTAGAAAATACAGTCAGGTCTGTGAGATGTTTAAGGCTTAAAATATTATTTATAAACTAAATCTAAATTTACCTTGTCCAAAATGTCCCCGTTGCCTGTCTTTTTCCCCAGGGCATGCATAGTGCTATTTATTCCTCCAAAACATTTCCAGGACCTCCAAAACAATATTGGATGTCTTGACTCATTGTTCTTATGGTTAGCAATTGCATTTCACTTTGTGTTGGCTACCCAGTGGATCTTAAGTGGGGGTAATAATTCAGAAGGCATAAAATTCCACCAGCAAAATCTTTACCAGCAGGTGGAGCCATTGCGCGCCCCTCCAAGCTGACACTAAAAGTTCCAAACCCCACAGCTCTGGAACTGTTAAAGGTAGAGGTCTGAAATTTTCTGCATTTGTGGTTGACATGATGTAGAACAAATATAATTCAATAAAACCTTCCCTTTCTCAAGGATGTCTTTATTATTGCTGTTCAAAAAAGACCTATCATTTCCAAGAATAAAAAAAACAAATTTGAGGCATGTTTGAACTGATGCAGGTTGGTCTGTGTTCTAGTCACCCAATTTTAACTAGAGGATGTAAGCTTCCAAATAATGTATCGCACATGTAATTTAGGCCTACAGTTCCTAAGTTATTTGCTTTTCCATTTGGGTATAACAAAATAGGCGAGGATTACCCAAAATGAGGTGGATGTTAAGAGGTTAAAGAAAATCTAAATAAAATACAACGAAGTTGGTTGTTATAGTGCAAAAATTGAAATATTTCAATTTGTTTAAATCCTTTTGCAAGGCATCATATGCTCATAAAGGTTTAAAGAAAAAAAGGAAGTTGGAGTATAACCCTCTTACCATTCACTTGCAGAATGTGGGTCTGGAACAGTTTTTCATACCCATCGGCATGACAGGTGTAGTTACCCATGTGGGTGGTGGTCACCTTGGTGATGTACAGCGAGCCATCATCCCCAAAATCCTAGCAGAGAGAAAGAGAGAGGGAACAGAAGGAGCCTTAATCACCTAGAGCAACACCTCACAGACTAGAATGAGCAGCTGTGCCTGAGTCCTGGAAAACAAATGGTTTCAATGAAAATGCAACAAACAACAGTGGACAGATGGGAATCTGGAAGTAAAAAGGAAATGAAAACTATCACAGCTGTCAGTAATGGCACGCTGTAGTGCAAGCCTCCATTAATCTAAGGCTTAGGTTGAAATGGTTTCATCCCTTGGAACCGAAAAATATCAATCAAAGTCATATTTAAAAATAACCATGTACTCATACGGGATATTTTTCCAAACAGATGACAGCGATTAGATTTAGAGTGCAGCTACAATTAATTACTACAGAAATCCCTTTTTACTTCCTTCAGAACAGCACCTAGCAAGTGTAAAGTTGCAGACGTTACCTAAATAACTCCTGCTGCCCTTTTCAAACATTAATTCCCCTGGGAGACATAATAAAACAAAAAGGAGCTGCTCTCTTAGAGCTTCCATATTAAACTAATAAATGAAACTATTCCCATGTTGCCTAGTTAAAATAAAACAAAAGCAAACACTGTCCATGGATCATGGGGTGATAAGTAAAACATGATGAATTCATGCCATGTTGTAAATATTAAACCTGTGAGCAAAACAAAGAAGTTTCTAGACAAAGAAGAGCAAACAGAATAATAAACTGCTCAGGCAGCAGTGCAGACACAAGCCCACAAAGCTAATGAGCCTGATGACGGTGCAATTCACCAGGCAGAGAATGAACAGATGCTACCTTGTAAAGACCACACAGCAATGAAAACTGAACACCACACATATTAAGAAAAGTGTGCTCTGTATACAGCCAATGAAAAGAAACACCACAAACAGACTGCATGGTTTAATTTTAAAACAGGACCCTGCCCTTTCATCCATCTGCTGCTAGTGACGTAAGAACTTTATCATGGTGAAACAATCAGTGCTAGATATTGAACGGCTTTGGGTCGGCTTTCAGATGGGTATGAAATAGTACTGGTTTAGAGTGTGCAATATTACCCAACTGAGATTCCAGCAGTCATTTGGTTTTTCACTTTAAACACATTTACAGCGATTTTAGCGTTTGTTGGCAGCAGGGCGCTGTTTTTAATAGATTGTTGTTTTTCCTATTTGATTCTAAACCAATATTCTTTAATCCAATTCCCATTTTGTTACATGCTATGAATAAATTAAAATGCAATTTGGAATTTTAATTGCTACAGCAAATATGACATTTCATATAAATAAAATGGGGCTCAGCTAAAGAAGGATATTTGTTCCATTACAGGAATTAATCTTTGCAAGTTATTCCTGTTTACAGTTTATGTATGAACAAATAAAAAGAAAATACTCTTTATCTTTTAACAGGATGTTTTTTTGTTTTTTTTATCACTTTGGTTCTCTCTTCTCTTGTCTTTAGACATAAACCTTTTCTGTTCGCATTGAGTTTTTGATTTGTTTGAAATAAAATGAACTAAATAAACTACCACTTACATTTATGTTGAAAAATATGTATACATTTAGAAACCTCATAATGTCATAAAGAGACTGATAATATAAGATGTGAATGGTGGAAAGCAGTTGAATTTGCTGTGGCCTTCAGAGTTCCACCAATTTCAACTAGCATAATGAATCTTTAATGGCAAAACATGCTTTTTTAAAATGTGACGCCTTAGTTTAAAACAAAAGGAAAAATGTCACTTAATATCTTTTATCACTTTGAATATTTGCTCTTCACTCCAGTTTCAGGTTCAAAAAGATTCTTTGACTTCTGATTAGAGTTTCTATTTTCTATGTATTCATATCTTGCAAGCTTTAAACTTTGACATTAAAATAAGGAAAGACAGGTTGGAAGCATCGGGCTGCCTGTTTAAAAGTGACAGTCTGTTTATCATTTTATTCTGCCGAGCTTGGATCTGACTTCTGAACCCTGGATGAGTGAAGCATCAGAGCTTCACAATACGAGGGGAAATCAATGGCACCTTTTGGGTTGCTTGGGCTGAGAGCATATTGTGTCACCTTCTTAAATGAAAAATGAAGGCAGGGGAGAAATGAAACTCAGAGGGGTGGAACGAGTCATGGCGGAGACTGTCGACATGATTCCTCCACCTCACCTCATCACCCTCACCTTAGCTATCAGCAGCGCCCAGCTCTCTGCAGACTGAACAGGCCAGGGTAGAACTGCTCAGGAGGAAGGCTGACAAGGGCGGGTGGAGGAGGATTTACAAATAGGCCACAGCCCTCAAGAAACTACAATTAATAAAGCTGCCAGTGCTGGGTCACCTTTGAAAAGGTGTTGAAAGGGCAGCTCCACCAGTGACAAGGCATTATCAAAGAAATTTCCTGTCAGCTTCATAAAACTTGTTTAAAAGCAAACAATAAGTGCTGGTGAAACTAAAACCCTCCAAAACATGGAGGTCTGCTCTAAAATTGTTTATCTAACAATAAAGATGTCCTTTGATTGCTTAATAACACAGTAAGACCTGTAACAATTCAACTCTTTATCAATCACTGAATTTAATGTTTATTTTTTTTTATTTATTTTTTTTTTACTGTAAATACTGTGTAGAAATATTGCAAAGTTACCACAACTGTGTTTTTTTTGTAAGTTAAGAATTATAAAGTGTTTATGTGTTATTTTAGGTATAGTTTGCATGTTTCTGGTATAGGCACTGTTGTAGCTTTGTGGTTTTATGACTATAGTACAAAAATGAAAAGCAAAGCAGCACAACAAGCAGGAAGCATTACCTGAGATGGGATCTGTTGAAGAGAAATGGAAAAATCAAGGTTTAGAGTCTGGGTTTTATCACAGCAATTTCAAATATCAGAAATACTTTTTAAAATAATAAAAAAATGAAATATTAACCCACAGACTTTAATGTCCTATCCTATTGAAAGCTGAAAAAGTACATTTCATATAAAGAGTCCTTTCTTGTTTTATTCTTGTTTTAGGTCACAGAAACTTTTATAAAGGTTGCTTATGTTCAACTGATCAGCATCCAAACCAATCAGGGCTGTGAAAGCATGAAGTCACATTGCAAAAAGTCTAGTAAGCACAAAAATGAGGAGAGAGAAAAAAATGAATAACATACAAACACAAAACACATTTGAAGGGAAAAGACTGCAAACATAGATAATAGAGACATTTTATACCAAACCATATATATTACTGCAAACTAATGTATATGCAGCAAGTTTCCTATTGGCTTTGTATGTTTCAGTTTCAAAGGTGAATCGGTAAAATAGTCACTGTACATGCCTGCCACTTTTAATAATTTAGTCCAGAATTGAAAATCAAAAAATTAACCATTTCCTGATATCCAAATAAAATAGTAATAAATAAAAAAGTAGGGAAAAAAAACGACAAAAAAAAAAAGAGCTCACTTTTGTTGTTTTGTTCTTGTTTTTTGAGATCCCAGATGGGTAAAAATAAGAAAAACCAAACCATTTTACGTTTTAAAATTCCAAAATGAAAATTGAAAATAAAAAATTGCATTTAGGATTTTGGATTTCTCATTAGGACTGAAACGATGTCTAGCTCTGTTTGTTATTTTTAATTTTTTGTTTTGGATTTTTTTTGTGTGTGTGGTTTTCTTATCTGGGATTTCAAAATAAAGCAGCAAAAAAAAAATAAAAAAAAATGGACTTGCTTTTTATTTTAATATTTTTCAATTTAATTTGAAAATTAAGAAAGTTTTCAGAACCAAAATCGAATGGCCAGCATGTAAACAGACTCTAAATGGGAAATGGCTCCAAATTTAACCCATTCTGGGCCCGATCTTCAAAGATTTCAGATAGAGAACACTAATACTAAAAAAACTGTATGTGGAATAAATGGGCATGTGTTGTGTGATCTACAAATACTGCTCGTGCAAATGAAAAGCTGCATGTATTATTGGCAGATAGCAAGCGCAATAGAGACAGATACAGTTCTAATCCATTTAGCTGAAGGTGTTTGATGATAATTATAAAATATGAGTAATATGAGTTATTGATAATACTATCAATAATTCAAAATATACTTTATATACGTAAGAATCTCAGGGTTAAAAAAGTAAGAAGTAAAGAAAAGAAAGAAAAAAGGGATCAAAATATAAAAAAATGCAGTTAAATATTAAATAAATATCTTAATAATAAAATACTGTAGAAGTTAGAAAGAGATGTAGCTGCAAATAGATTTATTGCAGAACATGCTCTAAACAGCTGGAATTACATCCACCAAGTCATTTCAACAGCTGTTGGACCTAACTGCAAAACAAGCTAGTCTAATAATTAGTTCATAAAACATAGCTTTTCTTTGTGTGAAGTCCATTAAAAAACATAGAAAGATGAATAAAGTCGCTCATGCAACAATATAGAGAAGTATACTCTTATGTGCTCCACCAATGATTCTTTACAGACTCTATCTTCTCCTGTCTCTGTAAATATGCTTTTTTTTGTGTAAATATGTCATAAAATTCAAGTTCAGTCATTGTGATTTTTTTATGATCCAACTACATAGAGAATTGCTACCGTCCAAATCTTTTTTTATAAGCGCAGAGAATCTCTCTTCATCATCTGTTGTACCAATGCCTCTTTTGTGGCCACAATGACTGCAGAAATTATTGCACAAGGTTCCCACCTTCTTTTTAAATGTAATTACAGACACAAAAACTGGCTGTGGTGATTTTCAATCTCAAGAAATCACCTTGCATGTAGTAAGTATTTTCATTTGGATAACCTTCCCCCATACATTTATGTAGTTTGGTCCTGGGAATTTAATCTCTATATTTTTTTAAGGCATACTCAAAAAAAAATAATAATAATAATTTGCACGCAGTTCACTGAATTGCACATGCAAATTGATTCGCATTGCATATTTACGAATAGGTAATTGGTCTGCTTGTGATGTTTTTTTTTTTTTTCTATTTCCCATTTGTATTCATATTTAGAGCTCTATAATGTGTTAGTAAAATGTATTTATTGAACAGA